CCCAAAGGGGTCGCGACCCACAGGTTGAGAACCGCTGTCTTAAACCCTTTTTATCGCTTGAGAGAACCTATGGATGGTTAGCTATATACATGGTTTATTGTATCACTCGTGCAGTAACTTCTTTAGCATCTTTAGTCCACAGTAAAATACTTTCTACCCTTGTCATGTGCCTTACTTTCCCATTCAGTAGTCTCCTTTCTTGTTTTGCTTGTGTGTCTCATCTGAGTGGAATTCAGCTTTTGAAGCTTACTGATCGTCAAAGGAACCGACATACTTAGCATGTTCTTAGATTTGGCCTGGATTGGGTGTTGTCTAGATGTTTGTGGCAGACCTATTACTCATGCCTACTCCCATGGAATGTTCTGGATATGAGTTTCCTGATCTTTCTAGATTCTCTTCAGTAAGCTTGAACATGTCAAAAATTATGTCTTGATATAGATAAAAGTAAATTTCTATGAAGTTTGTTAGGATGAAGTTAATGTTTCTGAATTTGGATAGTTGGTAATTTTATATAAAAATTATTTCATCCCCCCCCCACCCCCCAAGATAAGCTGCAGATGCAGAAGGTAGGGAAAATAATTGACTACAAATCTCATGTCATTGCAAAAAGTAAATCAGGCCACAATGAAATGCCCTTTAGGTGGGACACAATACAACAATCCTTACACCTGTGCAAACCCTTTATTAAAGCAACAATCAAAATACAGGATGAATCACGTTTGTTTTTTCTACTATAACATCAACTTAAATATCAGTCATTTGTTTCCATATTTAAATTACTTTTAAAAGGTTGAACATTTATAGTTCACAAAATCGCCAGTTTGACATTTACCCCAGGTAAATTTTTTTACTTTCCAATTTTAATACAGGATATGCAGAAATAGATATACAGCAAACCAAACAGAAATACAAGTGTCTTCTTGGACCCTAACTCACTATAGGCAGCTCTATGGTGTCAGAGAGATACATTTGAAGGCTATTGTTACAGGTTAAATAAAAAATAATTCATGCCAAAATATTCTTAGAGCTAATTGTTTTATAGTTTTATATTCTCTAAAGCGTCAATTTTGATTGTGGTAGTCTAAGTATTAGCCTCTTTAAAATGATATCTCTATAGAATCATAAAGATCATTGCCAACCTCTTATGATATTTTCTTGTATAAGAAACCCTCAGTCCTTTGGAAAACATAATAAGCAATTCTATTTTACTTGATTTCCCCCCCCACCACTGATTTATTTAATCCAAACTAGATTAATCATTGTAGAAGCCCTAAGAAAGGCATTAGGAAAATGAATGTTGTCATCTACTGAAGGGCTTTTAAATGAATAGGTAAATATAAAAATGAATATTTTTCAAAATATGTGTGGGAATATACAATGAGATCTGGTAGGTATTTAAAGAGTACAATAAATTAGTTTAGAAATCTAGTAGAAACAGGAATAATAATCTTAAGGGATTGCTAAAAGGATATGGGAAGATAGGTACAGGTCAGTAGTTGAACTGTGCTGAGTATAAAATAGAGTATCTGAAAGAAGAATTAAACGCTCCATTTTCTTACCAAATGAAACACTGAGAGGAAATCCCCCCTTTAGCAGAACCATTTCAGAATTTCAACACTGACACAATATTTCCATTTGCGAATAAAAGATGCCAGATTTGCCTTTGTAAAACGGTTCCTCCCATGGTTGGGATTGGTATTTCTATAGTGAACTTGATTTGTGTTGGCTGCACCACATTGAGCGTGTGCCTGTACAAAACATGCAAATATTCATTGTGCCTCACATTTTCTTCATGTACTAAAGAAGTGAGCAGATCTTAGATCACTAATAAATAACAACCCAAGCATTAGATGTAAAACAGGTTACCAGTCCATTAAAGAATCTACAGAGCCATAGTTCAATTCTGTCTTTCCATTAAGTTGTTTTCTTATCTCACACTTGCCCTTTAAAGGGAAGCTTAAACAACATACACAATTAAAAATGCAGCAAACAACAAAAAAGAAAAAGAAAGGAAGGGGATTCCAGAATCCATAGTTTTGAAAAAAAAAAAAAAAGGAATGCTTGTAAGCATCTGAGACAGATCATTCTTGATGTAATGACGACATAATAATGCTTGGTATGGGTGAGAACATTCACATATTTTCAGAATGATTTCTATAGATTAGGCATCACATTTAGTTCCTAGAGATTTTAGTCAAGTATTAGTATTTCTTTTTACTAAGTATGATATACAAAAAGATGACAAGAGTAGATGTGCCCTAACGATATGAAAATATAATATATTAAACAAAATCACTATAAATTACATAGATTTTTCATTATAAATTTTTCCCATTTACAATAAATACCATCCAAGTTTGCAGATCACCTAAGTGAATTAAATATGCATACATATCTGAATTATTTTTAGAATTTCAAGAAAAAAATTGCTAGAGATATAACCAGATGTCTCAGAAACCAGAAATTGTTTGATTTTGAGAATGACTACATATAACCCAAGGAACATGGCTTGGGATTTGGTGTTAAGCTTTTAAAACTGCCCAAATGAGTCTGACATGTGTGTGTGCATGCGCGTGTGCATGCACATGCACACACACACACACACACACACACAGCCATACCTCTATGAATCTGAACAGTTATTTATCTTTGAAAATCAGCTGAAAGTCACAAGGTCATCTATATTTCATATTCCAGCAGAAGAACCTTTCTCCCTTTGTAAGAAGCCATAGGATGGATAGGAAGAGTGTAGAATTTCTGGAAGGAGAAATCTCTGTTGTAAGCTAATTTCCCCTTAGGTTGGCTATTATTATATCAAGAGCTTTTTGATGCTTTAAAGAGGGAGAACATTTTGAAAATCTATATAATCTCCTCAGTCTAAAGAAGCTAAAAGCAAAATGGAAACATTCTTTGGTCACACATTTCTGCTCCTACTTCGTAAAAAATTTGCCCATTTTAAACGTTTTACCCTGAATCAATGTCTAGATGAAATAGATGTCTTCTCCTGTAATTTTCATGTGGAAATATGCACATGGGTTTGGGTGGAATGAAAACTGAATACATTGAGAAACAGTTCTCCCAATACCCCAAAGTGAGCTTAAGTCTCTATTGTTTTGGGCATACAGATCCCTGGTACGAATTTGTTGACCTCTATAACAAGTGAGAGTTGGAGATACAACTTTTCTGCACCCAAATACAGAAAATCCCAGTCAGGAGAGCCCAATCAGAAGTCATGGTTTCTCTTGTTTGCTCACTACTAATTTCTTTATGTGACCACCCAAGATGCCAACAGTTCATTCCTGACTAAGAGATGTCTGATCAAACTCCACATCTTGTGAGTTTGCCTTCAACATCAGGTATCTATGAGTAAAAAAACTGTCAAAGCCATTCCTAAAGCCATGCCCACTATCCTCAGCTACAGAGCTAGAGACATTTGCTGTAAAGTTTGGACAGCAAAAGCATCCAATCTCATGTACCCATTTTTGCTCCTAATATTGCATGTCTCTTGCTATGGGGGCCACCATGAGAGATTACAAACTTTCCATAAAACTTTAAATGTATGAGCGAGAAGGGATTTTGTGAGCACAACAACCCCTATACTTTGTAAGTAAAAAGATTAAACCCCAGAATGGAGAAGGGAACTGTCCAAGGTCACTTATCCAGAGAGTGATAGATTAAGGACTAAACATCTGCATCTGCTCTCTCATTACCAACGTGGTCCATGTTACTAATCTCTGATGTCATGACCCCATCAGCCATGACCCTTATAACTGCTTTAAGGTTAGTGTCTCCCTGCTCTTAAATAAAAATGAAATAACACCACTTGTTCTCATCATGATTAAATCTAAACTGTAGAAGTGGTCACATGATTAATTTGGGGGGTGGGGGAGGGAAAAGATCCACAATTTACTTAAAATGCTCTGATTTTTGAAAATCATACTTACTCATTTGAGTAAGTAATGCAGCATAAACAACGTTAGAGATACAAATGAAAATCATTAAAGTAACTGTGAAAAAGAACAAGGATAATAGTATTGGTTTGGTTCTGTGAGAGAATGAGACTATTTAAATGGTGCTCAGAACTCACCAAGTCTTCCGCCTCTGACAGATAAGGAAACTGAAACCCAGACTTGCCCAAAGCCAGGCAGCTGGTTATTGGCACAGTCAGGTAAGGTGTTGGCCTTTGGATGACTAGTTTTGTCCTTTGTCTATGACATCATTCTGCCTTGCATATAACTGCTTTCCTGTGAGATTAAAAATTAATGTAATACTTTTGGCATGAAATTTGATGGTACAGTTTCCTATACTATTATAATACTAGAGGCCCTATGCATGAAATTCATGCAAGGGGCTCGGCCCTCACAGCACTGGCTGCCTCGGCCCTCGCAGCCCCAGCTTCGTCTGGAAGGTCGTCCAGACGGTTGTCCGGAGGTCGTCCGGATGGTCGTTCTGCTGTTTGGTCTAATTAGTATATTAGCTCTTTATTATATAGGATATCCTTCCCTGCAAGTCCTTCTGGGTAGCTAATATTATACAACCTTACAGGGATTCATCAAATGCCTCTGACCTAGGAAGCAATAAATTTTCCAGATAAAGATCAGTTTTTGTTTGGAGGATGATGTTACTTAAATGTAAAAACAGCATTTTTCATGGTTATTATGACTATACTCAACCTTTTATAATCTACCACCACCACCACCACACTTCAGTTGAGCTCACACAAAGGCTCTCAGAATTGGACAGGTAAACACGTTTTCATTTGGCTATTAAAGTGCTGTTCCTGGGCAAAGTTTTTCTCAGTTTCACTTACAGCAGCTTCATTGGAAACAAGTAAAAATCAAGGTATGAAAATAGGCCTTGGAAATAATAAAAACAAGGGGTCTAGTGACTACTCTGGAACATTATAAATGACTTGTAGATATCAGCCCTGGTACTGGTGACTGATACCAACGCCTCTGAGGTAAATGTTCTAGGGGAAAGCAAGGACAAAGAAGACCAAATCAGAAAGAGCAATTAGTATTAATATAACAACAACTACTCCATTATCAAGGAACAGTGAAAGGAACAAAGACAGAAGAAAGTGCAACCAACCCATATATGTGCATTTACTTTTGTAGGAGACCTGTAATTTTTTTAGAAAGAAAAGCAATGCAGTGTGCATGGACAGGGCTCTTGAACTCAAAATTTATCTTACAGTAGTGTACTCTTTGCCAAAAGGGCATCACCAGTGAAGGTATTTGGCAGAGAATCGTCTCTAAAACTTGTATCCCTTGGACAATAGCATCAATCCTGCACCCTGATGTTTCCTGCATCCTTTTCTCCTGGGGAAGGTCCAGTCACAAGGACTGCACACAGGTGTTTCCCCTTCTACAATAGCATCACTCCTACCTAGGGGATGAGAGTCTCCTTGTAAGGCTTAGCGGCAAGTGCGTACTACATCTGGACTACGGGAGCAGCCCCTGATTTTCTTAATATGCATAGCTTTTCAGAGTTGATATTAGACATGGCTTTCATAAATAATGCAGGTGTTTCTTTCATGTGCCACTGCCAGTTCTGTAGTTTCCAGGTGAGCAGGCGGTGGGACTCTATCTGATACCTCAACAGGCGTGGGCTCGACAGGCGTGGGCTCAACATCCATGGGCTCAACAGGCGTGGGCTCTTCAGGCGTTAGCTCTGTGGATGTTTCATCTGTAGAAGGCTCTACAGTTTCTGGGGATTGTTCAGCTGACAGTTCTGTGTCCTCTTCATCTTTGACATCTTCAAACTGTACACCCTCTTGGTCATCCACATGATCTTTTTTGGATTGTGGATGTACGGACACCTTGATGGCAATCTGCTGAGGCTGTTCATGCAGCGATGAAGCGTCTGAGTCAGCGGTGGGGGAGTCACTTCGCTTCAGAGAGTTTCGGATCATGTACACCTCATCCCTGTCCATGGCCTCTTGGCCTTCTGGCGTGTGCTGCACAAAATTCTGCCCCTGCTCCTCCAGCCTGACCACCTCCATGATTTCCTCCATGATGGTTCTGCAGTTCATAATGAGAGGAGGCAGAGGCACGCTCCTGGCCAGCTCTTCAATGTAGCGGGCAAACTCCATGGTTTTGAATTGGGTGACTTTGGCAAGCTCTAGAGTTTTGGCTGAGGTGATGATGGGGATCCGCTTGGCGATCTCGAATGCCTTCTGCAGCTTCTCCGCGCCTTCTGTCCTAAAGAACTCGTTGATGGCCTTCTCTGTCTTCTTCAGGTGGCTGCTCATCATACACAGGCGGGTGATGTTGAGGACCATGACGATGGTGAAGGCCACGAGGCAGACCACCATGTAGTAGACACCCATGTCTCCCGAGGTGAAGATGACGCGCAGGGTCACCGTGTTGTTCACAATGCCATAGGCATTAGAGGCAACACATGTGTATTTCCCTCGGTCTGAAAAAGACACCTTGGTGATGTTCAGGAGGCCGCCCTCGTGCATCTGCCATTTTCCTGTTGGAAGGGAGAGAACATTCAAAAAAAGGTCATACGGTTCCCACTGAAGTGGCTACAAGCTTGCACGTTACTAGAAATACCATCTATTGATGATAGCAACAGTGAACCTTTATTGTGTGCCAGACATTGACGTGTATACACTCATTTAATCTTCACAACAACTCTGTGGGATGGGTACTAATACTTTATAGGATGACAAAATGGAGGCACAATTAGATTAAACCATGTTCCCAAGATCACCAGTTTGAAAGTAGAGCTAGATGATGAACTCGGGTTCAAGAGGCTGTACTTAAACCACCAAAGCATACTGTGTAATTCCATATCCTAGTGAAAAACAAGAAAAATAAACAATCTGGAAAATACTGTGCTCTTACTAGAGAATTCCTTCACTGTAGCATCCGATTTTCTAACCTGCCTGTGAGCATGACTCTGTTGAACACTGGGGAGTTTAATGCTTCTCAGAATATCAAGTAGTTTAGGACCAACATAAAATCTGGAGTAAATCAAATTAAGTTATATTATTTACCTGGGTTGCTCATATTTGACATTGAAGTTGTCCTTGTGTGACCTCCATTGATTAAAACATGATTATGTCATTAATTTTAAGAATCTATAATGAATTATCCATACTACTTAAAGTTATTAGCTAACAATGTGAAGATTTGGAGGCTGAGTATGAATTAGTATCATTTTGTTTTAGTCTTTCAAATAAATGATAGACTCATCAAATTGAAAATAAGTCTCACATGATAGAGAATGCATGTTGATAACAGAAATACTTCCCTCTCTGGCCTGGAAAGGACATAGTGTTGCCTTGTGAATGAGGTTCTGAGTCGGGCAAAACTCTTTAGTTGGGTTAATTCTTAGTCTGCCTGTATATCCATAGGTCAGAGGACCCCTGGACAACATGATACTAGGTTTGGCTTGTGGGTCTTGGATCTGAGCCTTTCTGTAATCCCATCTCTACCTATCTACACTGCCCTATAGAGAAGGGAGGGTCCAGGTTAGGCCTCGGGGGAGGTCTAAGGAACAGAGCAGGCAGATACTTCTCCATAAAAGCACTCCAGTTCCCCAAGCCAGCTAGAGGACCTCTCCTGAGAGACTGGATCATTTAACATGTAGTTTCCTCTTAAGTACCTATTATTGCCTAGTCTTTTTACTTGTTTCTTCCCTCCTGGCAGTGACTTTTAATTCTAATTAAGAGTCTGATATTTCCCAAAAGCAACAAGCAAAATGCTCCTTTTTAATACTAGTGAGCACATACATGACCAGGGACTGAGGAACAAGGCAACAGAGGGCCTTCTATATTCCACCGTCGTTCTGCTACCACATGGTGACTGCAGTCCAAGGAACATTCTGAAGGAAGCTGACAGGAGCGGTGAGGTGCCTCCTGGGGGCCGCAGTCCCTGACTTGCTAGCCCTGGGGAATCTGGCAGGATGCTCTTAGTGGATGCTGTCATATTACTTTGCTTTCTGAAAGAACATCTGTGAAGAGCAGTTCCTGGTGTCCCTGACTAACCCTTTTGCAACAATTCAGCCAGTATATTTATCCCAAGAGTAGAAAACACTGGTTTGGAAAATCTAGCGAAATGTTCAGTCTCTGTGAATGTGCAAGAATAAACAAGCCTAGCACCCGGTCTTTGAAATTTTCTCTCATTCACATGGGGCAGGGGCAAGCCTTCCACCCCTTTCATTCCCTGAACCTGAATTTTGATACTTTTACTGCAGATTTATCCAAATGTATAACAATAGGAGGCAAGGGAAATTATAATTTTCTTACAATTTGCTTGTTTCATAAGAGTAGACTACAACAGGCCTAGGGGACACAAAAACAAACAAAAACAAAACCAAAAACAAAACCAAAAACAAAACAAAACTCTAGTTGATTGAAAGCTTGGGCTCCAGGAATTACAGGTGATACATTTACCTTCCTTTATTTTTAAGAAAATACAACAGGGAAGAGGGTGAGGAGGTGAGGTTATTTGTTTGGGGAATGATTAGAATCAATTTATTCATCTCCTAACCTCCCCAGTGCCACTCCTTTTATGGAGGAATTAATCTGTAAATATAAAGACAGAGTCGTCTGAATCTGGGTGCAGAAGAACAAAAGCAGAAAAGAACACTAAGCTAGGAAGGCAGGCAGCTAATCTATATATATAAAAGCCTAAGCGACCGAACGAGCAGCCAACCAGTTGCCATGATGCGCACTTACCACCTGGGGGCAGGCGCTCACTGCAGGAGCTGCCCCCTTGTGGTTAGTGCGCTCCCACAGTGGGAGCGCTGCTCAGCCAGAAGCCGGGCTCATGGCTGACAAGCACAGCTGCAGCGGCGCAATCCTCTCCTGCCTCCTCAGCAGCGCTATCAAGTGGTGGCGGCAGGCACAGCAGGGCCGGGATGAGCAGGAGCCATGTGCTCTCGGGCTCCTCCCAGGCTGCCTGCCGCTTCCCGCAATGCTACATCCTCCGAGCGGTCCCAGATTGTGAGAGGGCACAGGCCAGTCTGAGGGACACCACCAGTGCATGAATCTGTGCACTGGGCCTCTAGTGGTAATATAAACAACCTTCTCCTGGCACCTACATAATAGTTTTAGTCATATTGTACTTTGTTACAGACAAATGAAATGCAACAATATTTTTTGTTTACAACATGACAATGCTTTCTGGTATTTAAAGATGTTTCTGAGCGTAAATTTCATAGTTCTTTTCAAGCATATTTGTAATTGTGTATTGACATGTATTTCTCTATTCTGGACCCGAGCAATTCAATGCAGATTAGAATTTAGACATTTCAGAAGATTCTTTTCACATTGTGAAAAGAGGCGCAATTTGGAACTAAACACAACCTTAGTAGGTGACATTTGTGGCTCATTTTGGGGGAAAGCAGATTTTCAGCAGATATTTACTTAGGAGCATATTCTGCTTCTTAGTCCAGGGCAGTGGGTCTTTAGACTAACATCTTTTATATACTTTATTCAATCATTAATTTAGTTTGTTCTTGAATTCTGAAGCCCGGCTATGTATCTGTGAAGTGACTATATTTGCTTAACTATAAACTATGACAAAATGAATCTATGTTATGATCCTAAAACACTTGGATTATTACCTATAATCTGAGCTGCAACACCCTAGTTAAATGACTGGGACCACATCTCTACCTGCCAGCAATTTCCTGTTTCCAATCTAAGACGAGGATACCAAGACATCTCTTTAGTATCCTTTACTAGATTCCTCTTGAAACAACCATCATCTTTATTTTATGGATTAATGTGATGTTTATTACATTTAGGCTTTAATGAATGTGTGACCTGGATTAAACATTCTATTATCAGATCACAAAGCAAGTCTTTGGAAGCCAACACACACACACACACACACACACACACACACACACACACACACCTACCTCTCTAAAGACTATACTGTCAGAAGAGCTAAGATTTCAACCTCAAAGATGATGTAGGTCTGTCTGGCTTCTTTTATAAAGGCTGATACATTGATTCCTTCCTAGGAATTAGGACTTAAATTATGCTTCAGCCTCAGTTGACCTGTGACTAGTGATAAAGATTTCTGCTTGTTCTACTACCATAGGACCCCTAGAAACTATGAAGATGGCACAAATACCACCTTGGGGGGTCCTCCTACGTCAGCTTGGAGCCCAGGCTCATGCAGAATCGCCGCAGGGTACCTGCCCAGCTGGGATCAGCCTGAGAACATTTTCTGTGCTGCACGGAGCCATTCACCTATAGAGACCTTGTCCCAAGACTTATTCTGGAACGGTCCCAACTTAAGCTGTCAGAAATTTAAAGAAATAATAACACCCCAGAGCTATACACATGAATCGGGTATACACTGTTCTGTCCCCGTGTGTTTTAAATTGTAACTGAGAGGGAATGTCCAAGGGATGTGCTGCATTTTCATTACATTGCATCACTTCAGCATCAACACACATCTAAAATGTCAGCAGCTGATGCTAAGTCAGTTCTATATGCAATGATTTCAGAGGAAATAAAACAGGCAGCTGTTGAACCATTACTTTCTGAACGTAAAAGATTACATGTATTCCCGAACCTTCTTGGTGGTAGTTCACGTCCCCCCAATGCTTTGCTCAAATTGTAGTTCCCCCTCTGAAACACCCTTCCTCCATCCCCCCTCTTCACTCCGGTCCTCTGAGTGTCATCTGAAGGTCAGGCTAAAACACTGTCACACGCAGCAGGAATAGACTGGAAAAAAGGAGCCAGACAGGCTAGAGTTTGCACAGAACCTGTCACAGTCTTCCCCAAGCAACTCCAAGCACTAGAATCACACGTGAAAATCACCCACACGTGAACAGAAGTGTTGTGGGGACAGTCTCTTCTTTGCAAAGAGAAAAGCTAGCAGATGTTATTTCTTAGCTGAGCTGTGGTGTGCGCTAAGCTGCACAACAAAGCTGACATCTTTAGAAGGCAGCGATCTTTTTTTTTTTTAATCTTGTTCATGCATTCAGTAACGATTGTTGAATACATTGTTTATATACCAGCTTCCACACCAGACTGTGCAAATGCAAAGATGATGCTTGACTGCAAAAACCATCCAAGCCAAAGAGGGACACAGACTCCAATAAATAACTGGGTTTTCCCTGGCACAGGACAGGGGCTGGGGAAGGGAACAGTGGGGACAGGCTTCCTAGAGAGGCTTGAGGAACTCACCAGAACCAGCTGGGGTGGTGCAGGCAGGGAGGGTCAAGAGAAAGGACTTTTAAGGACAGCGGGCCTGGGGGGAGGGTGGGGGGAGATGCTTGGTGGGAGGGGGAAGCACATGAGTAAAAGAGGGAAATCAGTGGGCGCTCTGTAGCTGACAAACCATTTTTATAATCTAGAAGGGCCAACCCAAAAGAAAAAAAAATGGGGAAAAGATGTGAATGGATAAGTCACAGGGAAAAAAAGAAATGCAAGTGGTATCTAAGTGTAAAAAACCACCAATGATTTATAATTAAAATTTAAAGGGATTAATTTTAAATAA